ATGGATGGATGGATGGATGGATGAATATAGTATTACCATATGAAATTAATACAGTATATATCGTATTTTTGTACTAAACTGTACCAGTTGTTTTTCTTTAATTTTTTTTTTTTTTTTTTTTTAGGAAGGAGGGTTTGGATTGTAATTCAATAAATAACATGAATGTTTTGTTGTACATGATAAATATTTAATAAAAACATTTTTTAAAAAGTAGAGTTAACTGGTATTTTAATTAAAGCTGTAAAACCTGTTCTGTTCTGTGCATACTTGCCTGATACTGGTAAAAATCAAATAAAAGCCATTTTGTGTTGTGATTGATGCTTTTTAGCATAATCGGTCAAACACTAAGTATAATAATGCTAGTTTCTTTAGGGTGACCTTAAAACATCTATTTCTTTACATTTTGCAATGCTATTTTAGAAATTTAGATTTTACAATATCTGTGTTGCATTACTTTCAAACACAATTCATTAGGAAATAAAATGAATGCATTTTTACATTTTTATTGTCACTTGTCTGTTTAATACAATCCTTCAAAATAACATTTTTCTATTTTAATGGGAAAGTGTAGCTGATTTTAATCCTCATTTACACATCATATTGTAAAATCAGACACAACTTTCCCTTTCCCCTGTCAACATCTGCAACTGAGGAGCTTCTGCCACTTGGGAATGAGAGCCCTGAAATTACTGTCCGCCTGGCAGATGGACATCAATGTTCAAGTGATTCCACCCCCCAGAGGGCCTCACTTGGTTTCCTCACATTAAAGATATTATTGTAATCTCATATTAATGTCTTCATGATGCATTCCAGTCCAGCCAGGTGTGCTGGTGGACAGGGGTGTCAGCTGATCAATGATCTCTCTGTGTGCTATATTTGTATAGATCCACTTTGTTCTGTAGAGAGCCTGAGTTGGAGCAGGGGTGTCAAACTCACTTACACAAGGGGCCAAAATTAAAACATTTTTGGAACTAAGGGCCAGTTTCAGAATCTACAATAACTCAAGTTACATACTCAACATCTTTTCTTGGTTGCAGGTTCCTCTATGAAAAGTTTATTTGGTCTCATTTGATGTTCTCTGTTGCACTTTTGACATCATAATCAAAGATTACTGAAAAAAATTCATGTGATGAAGGTATTTTATGTTTAACATATCATCTTGGGGGCCAGATAAGATGTCCATGAGGGTCACATTTGACCCCTGGGCCTTGAGTTTGACACATGTGCTATAGAGGAACTTTTCCATTACTTTTTATTTATTTATTTTACTAAACTTGTTTGGTTTGATATATCTACATATACGTATATCTATAGCTATACCTATCTCTCTCTCTCTCTCTCTCTCTCTCTCTCTCTCTCTCTCTCTCTCTATCTATCTATCTATCTATCTATCTATCTATCTATCTATCTATCTATCTATCTATCTATCTATCTTTGATTTAATTTTTTTAACGTCTGTCACTACAAAAAGCTGCCCCATTCGATAAATGTGCTGTTAATTTATTCCTTCAAAATAATTCCTCATTTTGCCACAGGATGGCGCCAAACTGCTGTGCAAGCAATGATTAAGACTGAACTTGTTGCCCACGGTGACCAGGGCCCAAAGTCCCACTGCTCGTGATCTTTGTGGAAGCAATGGAAAAATGTCTCTGGCACAGACTAATGACTCGTGTAGCTCTCAACAGGTACCACAAATATCCTTAAAAACGTTGCGTTGAAGAAACCACCACACTGACATGTGATTAAATGCTGGTTTTACATCCTAAGCCTCTTTGAAGGACCTCTTCAGATGCTTGAAGGACTTCCTGTCAGTGGGTCATAATGAAAACCCAGAATACTACACTATTCATCTCATCGTGACAGATGAGTTTAACTGCCAGACATCCTGCTTGTTTCAGCTCTGAAAACAGCACGCAGCAAGTCACAGCGGCAAACATTACACCAGATTCTTATTTTGACATCGCAGAACTTTACAACAGACAGGACAGATTGTGGGATGAGTTTATTGTATACACAGCTTCATTAGCTGATTCCTCTCTGTGTGGCAGAGCAGCTGGGAGCTTCCTAAACACATGTTTAATGGAAGATACTCCAGTGGCAGAGAACATGAGTGAACTTGTGGTTAGAAAATGCATACGCGGAGGTAAAAAAACAAAACAAAAAACTCTTAAACAGCAGGAAATAAAGTTTTTGCATGTTTGGTTTAAACTGGCTTGTCGGGTTGTTTACATCTTTTCTTACAAGTTTTTAAAGTCTGAGAAAATCATTCATTCTTCCTGTTTTATCTAGCTTAGGTGTTGTGGAAACGCAATTCACTTTCAAGGATTCAAGGTTCTTTATTTGTCATATGCACCACATGTGGTACATGTGGTGGAATAAAACTGTACACAGGGTCCCAGTTACATCCAACAAAAATATAAAATGTAAAATATATATAAATAAAAACAGTAATAAGATCTAAGATATGAACTAAGAAAAATGTTAACTAGAAATACACTAAGCACTAATAACATGAAAACATTACGCCGAACAGCAGCACGAACATGAGTCCGTGTGAGCAGATGAGCACGAATGAACACATCAACATGAAACAGATCAGCAGCAACATGAAACAGATCAGCAGCAACATGATGTGAATTTTCACAGTGATTATCCTGATTAGAGAGTCATGAGTCTAACAGCCTCAGGGTAGATGCTGTTCCTCAGTCTAGTGGTTCTACACTTAATGCTCCTTAAACTCATGCCTGAAGGGAGTGGGGCAAAAAGTGTGTGCTGGGTGAGTGGGGTCCTTCTTGATGCAGGTGGCCCTCTTCCTGCATCTGGAGGTGTAGATGTCTGTGATGGTGGGGAGACTGACTCCAACAGTCTTCTGTGCAGCCTTCACCACTCTCTGCAAAGCTTTTCTTTCTGCAGCTGTGCAGCCTCCATGCCACACGTTGATGCTGGAGCACAGGATGCTCTCCACTGCACACCTGTAGAAGGAGGTGAGGACTGAGTTTCCCAGTCCAGCTCGTCTCAGCCGTTTGAGGAAGTAGAGTCTCTGATG